GGCGCCTATGTGACCTTTGTACCTTTGATTTTAAATGCATGTCACAGAAATTTTCCCGCAGTACTTTAACCTCTGCTGCCGTTACTTTTTCAAACATGCACACCACTTGGGCTTTAAATTGAAAATTCCAACTTTCAAAAATTCCAGGAGAAAAGTTTCTTTTTCGCAAATATAGAAATTTGTCGCAATTCTAGTTTTGGCTCAAGTTTTCTGTTTGGTTTAAATCTTCCGTTTGGTTCAAATTCTTTTCCATAGTTTTTCTAAGGATACCAAAATTGAGACAAAAAACGTATCAAAAGTGTTGCGAAGCAACATTTTTGATACTTTTTGTGTCTCAATTTGATATCCCTAGAAAAACTGTGTCTGTTTGATTCAAATAATCATCATCCGTAGTTTTTAGCATCTTAAAATGTTTGTCTTGAAGAAGAAATAAAAAAGAATCGAATGTTGGAGAAAAGAAGTGCGAATGTTGAGAAAAAGGAAGTGAATGTTGACAAAAAAGAATTGTTGAGGAAAAAGAAAAGGAAAAAAATGATGATGAAGATGATGATGATGGTGGTGGAATTTGTCGGGAGAAGTTAGTGCGTCTAGACCCACTAATTAGACGACTTGTAATTTACATTCTCCCTCGTCATATCGCACCTGCGTCTTCACGGTTGGAACCCAGGTGTAGTTTTGGAAGGCATGCATATCGACAAGATACGCGTGTGCTAGCACGAATGTCTAGAAGCTCTGCCTTATGTAGTATTCAGACCACATTACCGGTGTGTTACCTTCAAGAAGACGGGGAGATCCTTGGACGATAGTTTATTCTCATATAACCAAGTTCATATATACTCTCTGCTTAGGATGTGCAACACTAAAGGAAATTTATCCGCCACGTGCCTCTGCGTGCCTCTTCTGTATCCATTTCAAACCTGTTTCTTCTTCTCTCAAAGTCATAACAGCCCTCCTCCCTTCTTATATCATATTTATTTTGTTATTGAATCCTGCACCTGCTGTGCTATAAAGGGCTCTTCTTCTTCTCTCTTTACTCATTTCTTCTCTACTCCCATCTGTTCTTTTTAACTCTTTACTCTTTTTTCTCTCACAGATTTTCTGCGGATATCAAATTGAGACAAAAGACGAATCAAAAGTTGAAAACTTCTTAAATTTAAAGTTCTAAAAATAAGAACATCTACTAAAGTAGATGAGTGCGAAGCCTGTACTTTTAAGAAAGTGGTGATAGCAAAAAGTCCTAGAGGTCTGCTTTAATGATTAGTCAATTAGAATTAGAATTCTAACAATACTTTTGTATTCGAAAACTTGAAAATACTAACTTAGTATGTATTTCTGTATTTACCTATGTAAAGTATCTTTATTTATTTATGCATAGGCTTTAGTGGCGCCTGAGTGTCACTTTCGACTCTTCAGACACGCAAGAATCCAACGTCTGGGTGACTCAGAGGAATATTAAACGAGTCTAGAAGCTTGGATATTCATATACATACTTGAACTAGATGGAGAAAATGTTAGAGTAGGTAGGAGTCGATAACGAGATCTCTATTGACAAAATTATTCCTATTTTATTATAGATATTCTATATATACTAGTCAGAAGGGTAATTAAATTTGAAATCTTATTTACGATCGACAGGAAAATGTTTATTTTTTCATATCTATAGTTTTCATAAATCTCTTGCTCTCTTGTGATTCGCATTTAATACCCTTTCATTAGCAAGATGATTCATTACTTTCTCTAGATATGAGAGATAATTAGTTGATTTCTTAGCCAGAGGTACTGATAGTAAACTTTGTCGAAGTGCATCATCTCTTAAATGTCATGCTGACATACTTTTACTGCTGAATTTATGATTTTTTCTCATTCGAACTTTTGGAAATAAAAACAAAGGCACCTAGTTATCAGAACATATTGAAAAATTAAGTGAAGCAAGTTTCAGCTTCAAAAAAGAATTTAATTTCCAAAATTAAATGCGGGTGTTTTAATTGTGACAAATTTTTGATGGTAGAAAGAAAACATTTTGCAAAGTAATGATTTTATTTTAGATTCTAGTTGTGGATAAGTAAAATATTCTTAAAAATGATGGATTTAATTTTAGATTCTAGTTGATAAGTATAAAATATATTCGAAAGAAATGATTTAATGTTAGATGATAAAATATGGTTTTTGTGGGGAAAATTAGAAATAAGATAAAGTTGATGTGAGAGGAATCATTTTCTCTGAAGACTTAATCTTTAGGAAAGGTTTAATAGGAGAGGTTTAAGATCCGATTTATGGGTCTGGAGTGATCACATGCTGTGAATTATTATCGATCGACGAGAAAAGTTTAAAGAGTAGATCTCCCCCCTCCACGTGGTCGTAGCCTTTCTTCTACAATGGCGATCGCGATGTCGAGAGGACGATAGTGAAACCGGCATTATCCAATCGTTGTGAGTGTTTTGCAAACTGTATTTGCGACCCTAGTCGTGACCGGTTAGGTGGTGGGAATCCGCCCTAAGATCAACTCTCATACGCCTAACCAACTGCACTTACAGCGTCGTCGCCCTTTCATTCTTTATATTCTTCTCTTTATAAAGAACCACCTGAGTCTCTCGATTAATTGTCATATCCTTTCGATTAATTCCCACTACCGAACTTATAGTGTCTCTTTAGTTACAATTAATTCAGTGTTGACACTTATTTCCACTACAATGCACTGTAAAACAGGGTTGACACAGGTCACGGAAATCAGGGAATTCAGTCTCTTAACGATTTTTAACTGACAATCAGTGAATGACTTTTTGCTTCTGAATCAGTTAAAAATAATTGATTTTCAGTAAAAAAAAATAACTGACTTTTAGTAAAAAGTAAACTGAAAAATTAGTTAAACTTAAATAATTGAATCAGTCAAAACAATTTACTAAAACATCAGTTATTTTTAACTAATTGTTAGTAGAAATATTACTTTTTGAATTAGTGACTGATTTTTTGCTTCTAAATCAGTTATTTTTAACTGATTCAAATTTAGAGAGCAGAGAAAGTAGAATTGGTCAGGGAAATCAGGAAAAGTCAGGGATTTTTATTAAAAGTACTGGAAAAAATAAAATGTTTAGAATTTATAAAATAGAATTAGCATATATTTTTTTGAGAAAATAAATTGTTTTAAAATTTTGCATTAAATTCTTCGCAGTGAATCAATTATTTTCATAAATAATAAAATTCATTGCAAAATCAATTAGGGGTCGTCCATATACCACGTGGACACTTTTGGGGGGAGGGGGGGGGGGTTAAAAAAGGTTGAAAATGTCCACGATCCCATGTATTTTTGTGTCCACAAGGGGGAGGGGGGGTCAAAAATCTTTGAAAAACTGTCCACGTGGTATATGGACGACCCCTTATTTTCATAAATAACAATATTCATCACAATAATTTTATTTATTTTCAAAATTAATAAAATTCTTCGTAGAAATTCAATTATTTTCAAAAAAATTTAATAAAAATTTTGATCAATATTTCAATTATCTTTATAAATAAATAGCAAAATTCATAGACAAAATTCCATTATTTTAAGAATTTTAATAAAATTCATTTTAAAATTTCAATTATTTTCAAAACTTTTTCTTAATTCAATGGTTTTCAATATTCTACTATTTTAATAAAATTTCCCAAAAGAATTCAATTTTTAAACAAAAATTTTGATGAAACTCTATACAAACATTGAAATATTTTCAAAAAAGAAATTCTACATGAATTCAATTATTTAAAATAGAATTAGCATAAATTTTTTGAAAAAATCAATTGTTTTAAAATTTTACATTAAATTCTTCGCATAAATCAATTGATTTATTTATTTTGATTTTCAAAATTTTTAATAAAATTCATGGAAAATTTTTAATTATTTACAAAGATTTTTCTTAATTCTATAATTTGTATATATGTAGATTTATATTATTAATTTCAATTAATTGTTAGGAGATTTTGTAATTAGGGAACTAAGATTAGTGAATAGTGAATCAAACACTAACGGAGGTTTCTTTTCTTCTATAAACCGAAAAAAAAAATATGATAATTTCTCATGTGAATAAAGGTGTAAAAAACATTAATTTCGTTCAAAGGAAACAAAAATTTTAAAATGTAGATTAAATTTCAAATTAAATTAAACAGTAGGATAGCAATTAAGAGATAATGATTTGCTTCGAACCGAATATTATTTTTCTGATTTTACATAACAATGGAAGATCCTGAGAGAAATGAAAGTAAAATTACTAAATCCAGTTTAATTAGATACTGGGACCTATATATAATGAAATTAATGCACAATAATTTATTACAGAAATAATATTTTTTTTTGAAGTAAATTAGAGAAGAATATTTTTATACTTTTATAACTTAGAGAATATTATTTGTTTACTTTTGATAGTAAACTAGAGAAGAAAATTTTTTTACTTTTGATAGTAAATTAGAGAAGAATATTTTTTTACTTTTGAAGTAAATTATAGAGAAGAATATTTTTATTCCTTTTTGAAGTAAATTAAAAAAGAATATTTTCTTTATTATATTGACAGCATATAAAACTGCGGGAAAAATGTGCACACAAGGTATTCGATTTATATAAGAAAAGGGTTCCATGACTTTTTTTTAACTTGTTTTGAAATGTCGCGACGCAAGTTCAGGTTAAACTGCATTCCAGGTCCATTAACGTAAAACGGGAACTTACGAAAATAGACAGCAATGTTGCCATTTTCTCGAGCTCCTCACATATAATTCTTGTATGTGCGAAAAAAAACTTGGAAAAACTTGAAAAATTTTTCAATTTATTTTTTCAAAAGAAACACACAACGTTAATCAACGAAAAAAATTATTCACTAAATAAATTAGATAAGAAAAATGCACTATTGACACAAAAGTATTTGACAAAAAAAAGACTAATGTTTATGTTTTTGATAATAATTGTTGTACAATTAAATATTTAATGAAAAATTAATTATTTGGTTACTTTATAAATAAAATTTTTGTTTCAGACATGCAAGTTGGAAATTTCCAGTGAACACGTGAGTAAAGAAAAACATTAATAAAATTAATACCTATCAGTGATGTGTTCTTTTTTTTGTAATATTAAATATTAAAATTCTTTAAAACCTACTTTTAGTTATTTTTAAAAAATTTTGTACAAATTTCAATTATTTTTTAAACATTTTACCAAATGTCAATTATTTTTAAAAGATTTTTCAAATTTTAGTTATTTTAAAAATGATTTATCAAATTCCATTTATTTGAAAAAAATTTTGCCAAATATCAATTATTTAAACAAATTTTTCCCAAATTACAATTATTTTTAAAAAATTTTACCAAATTTAAAAATTTTTACCAAATTTAAATTATTTAAAAAAATTTTACCAAATTTCAATTCTTTAAAAAATTTTTACGAATTTTTAGTTATTTTTAAAAAATTTTGTACAAATTTCAATTACTTTTAAAAAGTTTACCAAATTTCAATTATTTTTAAAACATTTTACCAAATTTCAATTATTTCAACAAATTTTTGTCAAATTTCAATTATTATTTAAACATTTTACCTTTCAATTATTTGAAAAAAAGTTATGCCAAATCTTAATTATTTTAAAAAAATTTTGCCAAATGTCAATTATTTTTATAAGATTTTTCAAATTTCAATTATTTTAAAAATGATTCATCAAATTCCAATTATTTAAAAAAAATTTTGCCAAATTTCAATTATTTGAAAAAAATTATGTTAAATCTCAATTATGTTAAAAAAATTTTGCCAAATGTGAATTATTTTTATAAGATTTTTCAAATTTTAATTATTTTAAAAATGATTTATCAAATTCCAATTATTTAAAAAAAATGTTGCCAAATTTCAATTATTTAAACAAATTTTTCGCAAATTACAATTATTTTTAAAAAATTTTACCAAATTTTAATAATTAAAAAAAGAAATTTACCAAATTTAAATTATTTTTAAAAGATTTTACCAATTTTCAAATATTTTAAAAAAATTTTGCCAAATGTCAATTATTTTTAAAAAAATTAAAAATTTTTAAAAGATTTTACCAAAATTCAATTATTTAAAAAAAATGTTGCTAAATTTTAATTATTTAAAATTTTTTTTGACAAATTCCAATTATTTTTTACACATTTTACCAAATTTTATTTATTTTAAAAAAATTTTGCCAAATTTCAATTATTTAAAAAAAATGTTACGAATTTTCAAATATTTTAAAAAAATTTTGTACAAATTTCAATTATTTTTTTGAAATATTTCTTATTTAAAAAAAACTAACACATCACTGATAAATTTAGCGTCCCTAAAATGAGCGTTGAAGACTTTTTTTCTTGCGATTTTTTGAAAATTGAAGTCGTGCTTATTCGTCAATTTCAATAATAATATAACTCTTATTCGTCAATTTTAAAATTCGAGTTCACTTTGACTATTTTTGCAATTTGTGACAAATGACAGAAGTAACCTAACAATTTCAAGAAAAAATCTAAGAAAATAAATACATAGTAGACTGTCTATTTTCTAGAATTGTTTTTTGTGATTTAGTCTCGAGAAGAAAAAGATTAGTCGACACTGAACTTGAAGGAACTTTAATAAGATAATAATCTCGCGAAAATAATTGAATCACTTTGACTATCCATTGCAAGTATATCTTTTTGTACTGCATCGAGTTGATACGATATGTAAAATAATTAAGTGACTGTTGGGATGCCGGAAATTCATCTGCAATATATTACTAACACCTCCGCGATGCTCCTTTCTAATTGCAAGTTTCAATGGTGCACGATTGATGCAAAACAGAAAAAGAAAGAAAAGAGAGAGAGAGAGAGAGAGAGAGAGAGAGAGAGAGAGAGAGAGAGAGAGAGAGAGAGAGAGAGAGAGAGAGAGAGAGAGAGAGAGAGAGAGAGAGAGAGAGAGAGAGAGATAAAATTATAAACTTACAATTGGAGAGAAAAAGAGAGAAAGAAAGAAAGAAAAAAGGGAGAGTGGGAGTTAAAGAGTTGAAGAAAGAAAGAAAGAAAGGGAGAGAAAGAGAGGAAAAAGGAAAGAGAGAAGGAAAGAAAGAGAAAGGGGGAATTAAAGAGATGAAGAAAGAAAGAGAGGAAAAAGGAAAGAGAGAAATAAAGAGAGTGGGGGAATTAAAGAGATGAAGAAAGAGAGAATGAGGTGAAGAAGGAAAGAGAGAGGGGGAGAAAAGAGAGAAAAATAGAGACGACGGAATCATAAACACAAAAATAAATAAGAAGAGAGAAAAGAGAATTTATACGTTAGAGTTTAATTATTAGTCTGCAATGACGTCTCCTAATGGAAGGTTCGCGACTTCAATCTTCCTAACCGCGTGGTGCTAGGGGCGTTCACGCATCAACGATAAGCAATTAGCGTGCCAATTAGCCATAGGAGGTTGGAGGCGTTTGTAAGTAATTAATTCGAAATTGGACGAGCCGTCGATGGCCCGGAAGTCATTCTCAGTTCTGCACTTGTAGAATCATTCGCCCACATGTCCAGTTGCAATCGAGGTGATGACTATAGGACGTACATAAAAGCCATTTTCTATACATATATACTGCTCTCGTTGATTATACACCTCTCGCGCCATCTGACAGATAAGAGCAATGCACACCTGCCTAACGGTTATATAGTCGGGGAAAATACGGGTCCTCAGGTTATTCGGTTTGTCCCACGGACCGGTTCACCTGATTATTCCCGATTCAATTGGAACATTATCATTTTGATACTTGTTCGCCTCCTTTTGTACCGTTATATTGCACACAAGCGCCGGGAGTAACTCGTCTCGGTGAACTTGCAAATTTCCCACTGATGGTAATTTTGCTGTATAGGCGGAGAGGAGAATATTTCCCTCACTTGTCGTTTAATTGAATTGTGAATGCAATGGGACTCTGGTGATTGACCGAACATTCCTGTTCCTGGCGATGGAGTTTTAAAGGAGGGTGTGATACTATGGGAAAGTTCGGTAAAATGGCAATTTCAGGCGATGTTTGATATTTTTTGTCACTTTTCACCATGTACGACTATTTAGCTACTATTTTTTTTTTAAAGTTACTTATTTCGTTAAAAAAAAACCACTAATTGTGGAGATGCCATTTTCCACCTGAGAACGACAAGGTCACCGCTAGATGGCAGTTTGGTTCTTTCTTGGAATTTCTCCTGCCACCTAGTGGCGACCTTGGCGTTCTCAAGTGGAGAAATTAAACCACGACTTTAACCCTCAAAAACTATTTTACAATTCGGTTAAATAGGGCTCGAACTACGTCCGTAAATCCCATAATAGTTCGTAAATTTGCTTAATGTCCGTAAACGACCGTTAGTTTTGAAAAAAGGTCCATAAAGTTCGTAATTTGATTGAAAAAAGACGAAAAGTTCTCGTAAACTGAACAATATAATTTAGAGAATTTTAGAAAAATTACAAATGATTGCAGAAATTCAATTATTTTTAAAAGTAATAAAATTCTTCGCAGAAATTCAATTATGTTCAAAATTTTTTTAAAATTCTCATCAAAATTTCAATAATGTATCTTTAGAAATAATTAAATTCTTCTCTGAAATTCAATTATTTTCGAAAAGTTTTAATGAAATACTTGTCAAAATTTCAATTATTTTCAAAAATGTTCCTCAATTAATGATTTTCAATATTTACTGTTTTAATAAAATTGGCCAAGAGAATTCAATTTTTTTAAAAAATTTAATAAAGTTCTACGCAAACCTTTAATTATTTCCATAAAATAATAAAGATTCCACAGGAATTCAATAAACTTTTTTTATAAATTTCTTCGCAATCGTTCAATTATTTTTGTAAATAATAAAATTCTTTTTAGGAATTCAATTATTTTCATAAATAATATAATTCTTTTTATGAATTCAACTATTTTTATAAATAATAAAACTCATTGCAGAAATTCAATTATGTTCAAAGAGTTAAAAAAAATTCTCGTCAAAATTTTAATTATTTTTAGAAATAACAATTCTTCTCCGAAATTCAATTATTTTCGAAAAATTTTAATCAAATTCTTGGCAAAATTTCAATTATTACCAAAAATTTTCCTCAATCAATGATTTTCAATATTTACTATTTTAATAAAATTTATTGTCCAAAAGAATTCAATTATTTACAAATTTTTTTATAAATTTAATCGCAATTATTCAATTCTTTTCATAAATAAAAAAAATAAAATTTTTACAGGGATTCAATTATTTTCTTAAATAATAAAATTCTTTTTATGAATTCAATTATTTTCAGAAATAATAAAATTCATCACAGAATTTCAATTATTTTTAACACAATTTTAAACAAATTTCTCGAAAAATGTAATTATTCTTAAAAATTTTATTAAAATTCGTCGAAAAAATTCAATTAATTAAAAATTTGTTGATAAAATTCTTTATAAGAATTCAATTTTAAGAAATAAATAATTATTCGATAAATTATTTTTTTTTGTATTTAAATAATTGAATTCTAGTAGAATTTTCTAATGAAAATTGTTTCAAAAATGAATTTCAGATAAAATTTTAGATTATAATTGAATATTAAAAGCGTGAATTTTTAGAAATAATTGAATTTTGAAAAGGTTTCAAATTAAAATTTTAAAATTAAATTAAAGTTTAATTACGGATTTTTTCTGCATTATTTCAAGTTTTTATTTTTTAATATTTATTTAATTGAATAATTTACAAATAATTAAAAAATTGAATATTCTAAACAAATAGATTTGAGATTCTCAAAGAATTTTTTTAAAAAATATTAAAAATAATTTATTTATAGAAGAAATTTAGTTAAAAACACAAAAAAATTAATTTTGTAAAAGTTACAAATTATTGCAGAAATTCAATTATTTTCAAGAGTAAGAATATTCTTCGCAAAAATTAGATATTGTATAATAAAATTCTTCTTAGACATTCAATTATTTTTTCAAGTAATAAAACTTATCGCAGAATTTCAATTATTTTTAATACAATTTTAATCAAATTTCTCGAAAAATGTAATTATTCTTCAAAATTTTATTAAAATTCGTCGAA